GTGTGTTTTTCACCGTCCTTCACGACAACGGCTGACTAGAGTCGAGGTCCGAGTCCCAGAGACGCCCTCTAGTTGAGCCGACCCCCCCCAGATTCGAGTGGTCTAGAGGTTCGAGATGGAGAGCAGACTCCCCCCGTGGGGAGGTGCCATCCACCTGGAATACTTCTAGAGGCACTCGCCTGAGTCTGAGTCCTCAAACCCGGTGACACTGTAAAGGTCATTTGCGACCAACAAAAAATCCCTCTAAATCGACTTTAAGTAAGCTTGAAAGGGCGCAAATAGCCGTACTAAAAATATTCATTAATAAGAATCCTATTTTATTCCCAACTACAGAACTGTATCAAAAATCACAAGTTTTTAACGTCCGACAGTTATTTAAACTTAATACTATGCATTTGCACACCGATTCTTCTATTTTCTTTTTATTATTTTCTTCCCATACTGCTATAATTTGCTGCACTCAAAATTAAACATAGTCTACTATACCAACAGAAATTGTAAAATATTTGTTAAACAATTTTTACGTTCCCTAACACACAAAGAAACGGAAGATTTATTAAACTTCCATAGATAGTTAACTTAAACTTATCCCTCTCATACATTCACATTCGTATCTGCCGACGTGTAGAGGAGTACCAAATATACTTACATACCTACTCCTTATATTTATTTATAACATTAAAGTAAGTTGTTTACTCCTTATTTTAAGCGTAATCGTATCACTATTTAAAAAAAATGTTTACTTTTCTTCCTATACCTACAATTTAAATATAAGAATGAATGAACTTTTAATTTGCTCACTGTTCATTTTCCATGGGAGAGAGAGTCCTGTTGTTCTGAGATACAGGTGTTCTGCCTCTAGTTCAGGCGCCAGTTTCTCACAATCTATTTTACTGTACCTATATAAAAGTATATTATAATAAGTTGTCAAGTGATTTGTAGATTGTGGAAGAAATATAATAATTATTTGTTACGGACAAAATAGACTTCGTACTTTAAATTAACAGATTCATCGAACTTTCAAACCCACTTTAAAAAGGGGGCGGTAGTCAATACGGCTATACACCGTGAATTTTGAGTTACCTAGCTAATTCTGACAACAATTAAGATTATATTCAAAAATATTTATTTTCTGAAATTATATTTTCGAAAAATATCTCCATATAAACTCACTATTTTGAAACCCTTACAAGGTTAATTTTTGTAAATTGGTTTAAATAGGAATACTTTTAGGATCTGCATACTTTAAATAGATAATAATTCCATAGTAGGTACAGTTTGTCTATAAAATCGTGACATTAATGTTTGAGGAACTAACATTATTCATGTGTCTGGCAACACCAAACTTATGTACATCAGCTGTCATCGAGTTTCAGTTGTGGAACAGTTTTCCTTTTGTATTTTTTATTGTTTGGATTAAACTGTAATAAATTAAGACGAAACTACGCAGAAAGGTATAAAAATGAGTAAAGTAAATCGGAGTGGCACGCGGGAAGTGATTTTTAAAGTTTTCCAGCGATGTTTCGAAGACTACCAAGCTGGACGAATTTTGTGGGATTTGGTTGATGTTTATGGGCGAACAGCATCTATGATGGGTATGTAATCGTGTTACTTTTTGTTTGTAATCTGCCTGAAGTTACAAATTTACTCAATTTACGATTTTGAGACCAAAAAAGGCATTGTTTACATTGCACATTTTTAGGTTAGATTTACATTGTAAATATGTAATATTGTAGTACGACCATTTCTTTTGATACGTTATTATGGTTCAACTCGATCAGGTTTTCTACCAATTTTGAATTAATTGCTTCATGTCAATGAGTTATTGTTTCTATTCCGTTACATATTTTTTTACTTTTTTTTCAGGAAAATCAGAGAGTCGGATACATTTACAAATTGTTTCTCTAAATAAACTTTTTATATACTATAAAATGATTTTTAGTATTATTTTCTTAACAAGTGTGTTAAAAAACGTCGTATGATGATGCTTGTGTGTATTGATGATTACCTAACGGCTCTGGTCTCAATGGCACCTCAGCGGTCACATCACCAACATTACACACTTATACGCTATAAAGTACTATTTTATCTATAATAATTTTATTCTGATTCAATTAAATATGCTTGGCTAAACTTTTTATAAGCATAGGTACCTACTATATATAAAACAGAAACAAAATACGACTGTATAGTGTGTCTTATTAATTACCTATTTTACTTGAATGAACTGCTAGTATCAAAATCATTTTGGTCCGACTGTACAGGGTTGCTACATATGCATGTAGCAACCCTGACGCCACTAGTATGCACTAGTGGCGTCATCATTTAATGGCACGACTTTATAGACAAACTGTATTACCTCTCTTATTTATTATCTGTAAAGTATGATAAGGACATTGTACTATTGTCAAATCATCATGTCGGAAGTAGGTCCATTCCCGGGGCTGGGTTTAAGGCAGGGCAAGCAGGATTGTGACCCAGGGGCACCCACAAGAGAGGGGCTCCCACAGCAGAGATAAAAAAAAGCAAATTTCGACGGTTGACAAACTAGGGGGCTTCTATAGGCTTTTGGTATCAGAATATCCTGCAAACATGCCTGGAATTGCTAATAAAGACTTTGCCTCCAAAAACTTAAAATGTTTGCATGCGGAGTGTAATATTTCCTTGATCAAACCTGGTTTTAAAAATCTCGACAATCTAATTGTCAAATCGGTCCAGCAATATGCCACGCCGTCACCCATTTGGCATTTGAATTTTATATATTTTTTTTTAAATCATCCATCATCATCAATTATATCGTAATCTATTATAATTAAAATTGTAAAAATGTAGGAAAGAACATACTCATCCCCACTGGCAGCAAACGATCATGAAATTGATGCATATAAACCAGCCATCGATTCACTGAACCATTATTTTGGGAACACATGCCACCAGCGAAGAGATTTTTAAAAGAGCATGTACCTACCATATCCACATGTGGATATGGGTAGGTTGCAAATAGTAAAAAAAACTACATGCATACATTATAACAACTATACATAACTGTAGGTGTAGGACACATGCAAGCCTTGAATTTGAAAATTATGATGAAATTATAGTACCGTTACAGTAAGTTTAAGGCTATTTGTATAATTGTATGCTTACCTTAATCTCGAAGCCTAAATCGGAACAGAAGAAAAAGCACAAAAAAAACAGAAAACTTTTAAATTTTATTGCTACTTTATTTGACTTAACATTTTCGTTATTTTGGTTTACAAAATATAGTTGTTTACCTGCTTATGCATTTCATGACTGTCTATGTAGATGAATCACCAAATTGGCTAGGACGCTGGACTGGAACCCATGGAATGTATGGTAATCTCATAAAGGCTGATTTACACTTAGGTAAGTACATTAGGGAGTTTAGAAATTGGATAGTTAAGTACTAAGTACTTAAATGACAAATCCCTATCCAAACGATACTAAGAACTTACTAAAACCGTAAGGTTAACTCGCTACTGTACTTTACCGAAGTATAAATCAGCCTTAAAAGACGTACCTACGTACAGACTGTGAATAAAGTCATGAAAAGAATGTCCGAGGAACTAATGGTTTTGCTGGTACTGGCAACACTAAATTACTATCAAATAGTGTAGCTCACTTGTTACGTTAGTGATTGTTTATTGTGATTTTGTTTTAAAATTGTTAATGCGAGTTTTTTGTTTATATGACCGATACAAGATATAAATTTAATCAGGCTATTTATACAAGCGGCGCGAAGCAGGTCATATTTTAAGTTTTTCAGAACTAAAAGACCATATTTCAAGTGAGAAAGAAGGTCGTTTTACGAATTTGAAGACGTTTACGGTCGAACAGTAAAGTTGGTCGGTAGGTAAACATTGAGAAATAAATGAATTCTGCTCCAGTGACCATAATTTCTGTTTTCATCCAGGATTACTTTGTGTTGAGGTTATAAAATTCTCTAACAACTTATACTACGCCCTACATATTTGTTACTATTGTAATATTATTTAAATGTAATCATTTGACTTTTCTCTGCTTCAGATATTTCCAAAAATACAATTCGACGCATAGTGGACTAAATATGAATAATGGAGATAGAAAATATAGAAGTGGGTGTATATTATATGCCATAGGTTCGTCAAAAAGTTAATTTTTATTCGAGAAAATTAAGAAAACTATTAGCTTGTGCTGTGGTGGAACTGTGCAGATCACGATGATTCCAGTTCCAGTTAATTTTATGAGGCATTCAGCAACCAGCAACTTGATGACGCAGGAACTATATAGAATAATAAGGACAGACTGATATTAAATTTAGTTTTAAGTTTAAAGAATGCTGCCAGAATCGACACCACTATGGGCACTGAATAATAATAATAATTTATTTACTATAATTAAGTATCTTTCATTTTATTTCCCACCTTTAGTAAGTGACTTGAAAAAAGACCGGTCGTAAGTGGCTTGAGTGTTTATTAGCCTAGCCGTCGAAACTAGAGTATGACAAAATTGGATAGTTTTATTATAGTTTTTATTTATCTTAATAAATATTTAAGTAAAAAATATTGAGTAGATTTTTTTAAATCCAGCTAAGTATTAGGCAGATACAGGAAAAAATCTTAGATGATGATAAGATAAGACAGCAACTCGGATAATAATGAAATGTTTGGAAGCTATTTATTACAATAGAACTTTTTAACAAATATCAAAGCGTTTTAGTTGATATAGTATAACGGGGATACCAAGTAGGCGACAGTAGCGACCTCTTTTTTTTCATGACTTTATTGACAGACTGTACATGTTAAGTTAAGTGAGGTACTATGAGGCATTATGTTATGCCGGACGTATAGTACTAATCGATTAACTCCTAAGCCAAATATATGTTTATGAGAATTATCTTTGCGCTTATACATTTTAGTTTAGCATTGCATTGAATATAAATTTACAAATATTATCGGATAGACGGTTCATTGCATTCAAAGTAGTAAATAAACAAAACATGCTAATACTATCGACTCCAGGAAAATGCGTTATGGGGCATCACTAGAATTACAGATAGCAACGCCATTTTTGTGTCTAGTTGATTGACTTTTGTGTGCGTCATTTTAACGAAATTGACGATATTCTAATTCATTTAAACGTTATATTATTAATTGTTATATAAAACAAGTAACCATGAGTTCAACTATTGATCAGATGTTTATGTGACTGTGTATATTGATTATTTGCTGTGGAATTATCTGCGCGGGAAATGTGGTATTTTCCGATAGCTCTCGCTATAACCAAACATAACTGAATAGTGAACATTAAAAAACATTTGCCAGATCTGAAGATGATTTCGCAACGTGTTCGTGAAAGCAGAAGAGTCAGGGCTCTCAAATTGCCCAAGAAGATTGAACGTTTGTACAAGGCATCGAAATGTCGAGACTGTGCTGTTGTTGTGACGCGTATGGACTTTGCTAAAATTTTAGGTAAATTCACCAAAGTAAAAATACAATATGAAAGTAGTTCCACGTCTAAAACAAAAAAGGTTTCTGAGGTAACTTCACCCAACTCCAATACTAGGTTAAAAAGCAATGAGAACGGAATGGTACTCATTCACAGGAATGCCTATAATCAGCACCCTGTGAAGGAGCTTTTGTCTTCTAAGAAACCTAAGAATAGCATAACTCAACCTGCTACACCGAAACCAACTAACAATGTGCTTAAAGAAAATAATCGTTTAAAAAAGACACCAATGGTAAAAGACAAAAACTCAAACATTAGAGTTTCCATTAGGAATGAATCAAAGAAAAAGAATAGTACTACACAGTTGAAACAATATGGTATAATATTTGTTGATCCAATATCAAAGAAAAAAAATGATATCAAAAACAAAATAAATTTACAAGATTTGTTGCCTCTTATAGATAAAAATGTTTTGCCAAGCAAGGAATGGTGTTTGGATTATTTACCACGTAATGAGGAACCTACTAATGACAAAGTGTATGATAGGATAGCGGCAGAATTAGAAGATTTAATGTACAATGAAAAACCAGCTCCAAAATCAGAGGTTAAAGCAGAAAATGTAGAAACCAAAGTTGATGACTTTCCTTCAATAATGGATATTTTGAATGATAACTCAAATGAGAGCAGCAAACCAAATAATCAGACTACCCATCTAGAATCAAGTGATGTTGAAGCTATGCTTCTTGGAAAATCTGATTCTTCAAGCAAACTGGTAGAACCAACTCCAACTCCTATGGAGGTTGATAACACAGATATGAGCAACTTAATTGATGATGTAGCACAATTGAATGCTATTCAAGTAGCAGCATCGGACCAAGATAAAGCAGTGAAAATTCCACCTATCATTGAAGAAATTGATAATCCACAGAGCCCTTCTATTCTCGATGAAGCATTGCAGAAGGGAATAGAAGAACATTTACCGTGTGATCCTCTGGCTACAGAAAATCCTATTGGAAGTCCGAGTAAAATTACCGAAGCTAATGTATCTCTCAATGGTGTTGATTGTAATGTAACAAATAAAAATGAAGAGATGGACTCTTCAGTGGAAAGTGAAGCCAATAACAAAATTTCCATTCCCTCTAATATCACACATTTGATTTTTAAGAAAAATGTTGATGGCGGTTCTTTGAAGTGTGTGACTTGTCCCAAAAATCTTAAATACACTATAGAGCTTGAAGGCAAATCTGTTGAACTTTTGGGTGCACCTAAGTTCATATCAAGTTTAGAGGATCTCCAAGTGTTGTTGCAGATAGTAAATGAGACTGATCCTAAACATCCACTGATTTGTCACTAGCCTAATGTAAAGATGCTAATAAACATAAAATTAATTGTAAAGTCACAGGTGTTTTGTTAATGTCTTTGAGACATGAGGGTTATGCAAATCATAATATCCATAAAAATAAATTGACCCTAACATAGTGTGGTTTTTAATATTACAAAGACATTCAAAATTGCAATGTAATATAAAATATACATTGGTGTCGATTCTGGCGTGATTCTCTAAACTTAAAACTAAATTTAACATCAGTCGCTCTTTTTCATTCTGTATAGAGAATGACAAGGAAACACTGTTGTCAAGTTTAAGTTTAGATTTAGAGAATCGTGCCAGAATCGACACCATTGCATGTCTTAGAGTAAAGATATTATGTTTGTAAAAACATTTCTCCAGAGATGACCTTATTCTGTAATAACTTTTATGGCAAGTGTTTCTTCGTTTCTGCATGTCGGAGAAAATATTTAAGAAGAAGAATAAGGGACTATTACATTTCTCTGTGTATTAGTTACTAAAGCAAATATAGTACTAATTACTGGTTAAAAAAGCTACTACACTGTTTTGTTGCAGCAGTTGTGTAGATATAAATATATATTTACAAAGTAGGTATGAGCAACTTTTTTTATTATTAAATTATGCTTAAATTTAACTTGTCTGTTTGTATACTACAATGTAGTATAATGAACTAATTATCCTTTGAACTCCATAGTGTATATTAATAGTATTAAGATCTTCATGGTTTTTTAAAATAACTTTAAAAATTAATTGTAGGTTTTGTACCTAAATGGTGAAGCCATTTAAACATGTACAAAAACAGTGCATTCTCATTACTTCCCTTATAGGGTTTGTAATATAATTATTTGAAATGAAGGAATACAAATTCACATGGTTAAAAATTTTATTAACAACAAAATTCAATGACATTCATTTGTTCATAACACCATAATGCTTAAGGAATGATGATGTAAAAATGCCTTACATATTAAATAAGCCAAAAATCTTTGCAAAAATATAAATATGATATTAATAAACCCTATTTAAAATAATATGATATGTTTAAGTGTTAAACATGTGAATTCTTAGTAATATAAGTACATTTAAATTAGAAAACCTACTATTATTATTTTATTAGCCATTATTACCATCCAGTTCCATAATCATTTCCCTTGTCGAAATTAAATATAAGGTTTATATTATGTTACGTAAAAAATAATATTATGACATGTTTTCAGATATTGTGTAAACTGATTGAATTAGTTTAGCCTTAATATTAGGTTTGTTCATTAAAATGAACCTTGATGGTTTACAAATAGTTATCTTGTTTTATTTATAATGTTTCATATTTATATTCCTTAGTAAATGGTGTGTAGTTAGTTGGGTAACTAGTCTGAGTGCCTTCTTTAGTGACAGAGATAGTGGCTACTTCACAGGCGGCGCCAATTATCTGGTGCAAAGGATAATCTTTATGAGAAACTAGGTAAGTTGCCAATGCTCCCACAAAAGCATCACCTGCCCCCTGTAAAAAAGATGTTAACTTGAAAAAGTGACAGTATCTATATCTTTAAATTAAAAGTATGTATCATATTTTTTTTAATCATACATAGATTACTGAATCGCTTACTGTAGTGTCTACTGGAACTACTTTATCACAAAACACATGTGTAGGTGGGTCATTCTTTGATGCGTATAGAGCTCCATTCTCACCAAGTGTTACAATGACTGTTGCACAACCTAGAGCAAGTATTTTCTTTATAGCTTCAACTGCAGTCCTGAAATTATAAAAAAAAAATCATGTATGTATATAAGTAAAATTTTATCATTTTGTTTTTTAGTATGTGTCCTTACTTTACACTAACAACTGGATGGTTTGCTAGTATTGAAGCTTCAGATTCATTTACACATAGTATGGAGCAATAAGGCAAAATTTCTTGAATATCATTTCTTCCAGGGGCTGCATTTAATAATTTCAGCTGTAAGAAATAGTTATATTTGTTAGGCCTGTGAGATCAATACCTAGAATAAATGAAAATATACATAAGAGGAAATAGAATAGAAGCATCTGTAACACAAAGATTTTAAAGCAATTGAGTTAGATTTGAAAGTGAAAATAATCCAATCTGACTGTACATACTCCTCTGTTTATTTTAAATGCTTCTAATGTTGTTTCAAACGGAGTTTCTAATTGTCCAATAAGCACATCAGCAGTGATTATGAGTTCCTTTGATTTCTCCACATCAGTCTTACTAAGGTGCCCATTTGCACCAAGAACAATTACTATCTGATTCTGTCCACTTTCTGCAACTGTGATTTGAGCAATACCAGTAGTAACATTATGTGTATTGTAGACATGTGTTACATCCACACCTGCAGTTTTTAAGTTATCTTTATATTTCTGACCCCACTGATCATCACCTGTAAAAAATAATAATTAAAACGGTAATTGATCCATTTGACATTAATTGATATATTAAGTTTGTCTTGAATACAGCATGCAAAATGTAAAGAGTGAATTACCTACTCTACTAATCATGTAAGTGTTTCCACCCAATCTGGCAGCTGCAATGCATTGGTTCGCACCTTTTCCTCCAAAACTTGTTACAAACTTAGTTCCATGAAGAGTTTCGCCATGGTTAGGCAGTCTGGGGGCATATCTAGAAAAAGAAAGGGGACTGATTATGTTAATTTAAACTAAAATTAGGGCATTAATATTGCCGTGTGTATTCAGGACGGGTATTGTTTGTTAGTTGATCTTGAGCGAAACTGAGCTAAAATATTGGTTCAGCCTTGCAACGCATGGCAGACTCGAGCAATAAATATCACTGTGATGGTGCTCCGCACAGCAAAGGTCTCAAGGAGGCTGCTTGTTAGGAACCTCTAGTACGCGATTATAAATAATAATGTAAATTACTTACGTAACGATATCAGTGTAACCGTGCTAATAGCGTAAATACCTACATATTTCGAAAAGGTTAGGTAAATTAGATGAGTGTCTCATTATAAACAGTAAATTCAATATAATAAACTGTTGTTTCATTTTGAACTTACGTCGTAAAGTCAACAGAGCACGACCCACATACCACTATTTTAGGAATATAGTCGATCTTGTTTGAAGTCATAATAGCAATGACAATTGGTTTTTTCTAATTAAAATTAATCGTACCTATGTTTAATCTGAACAATGGAACGGTGGGGATGGGTAATGATAAGATAAGGCAGACTATCTCTTCAGCCACGGTAATCAGCAGTTTAATATGACTTGATAACATTATGAAGGGATGTAAAAAATGTTTCGATTTTTTTCAATAATTGTGATATAAAAATCGATTTTTAATTTATGAAACTCGCTCCACATTCTCGACGAGAGGTCTCGGGCAAACGTTTTGTCAATAGGGCGTTGGTGAAGGTACACTAGACCGGCTTTCTACAATCTCGTTCGGCTCCGCACAGCACAGTTGAAAATTGACACTCGTACGGAATGGACGTCTTAAAAATACACAGTCAGGTCATAAGTATTGTCACACAGTAAAAACTTTTCTTTTAGAATGCAGGCCACAAAAAAGTTTTTTGAATTCGAATTTCGAATTGTTCATGAAAATAAAAATGTATACTTTTTAGAATTTTACTCATTTTCCAAATATGGAGTGGTGACACGTCTTCTTTAAGCGTACTCTAAAGTGAGTACGCTTAAAGAAGACCGTGTTGCAGTTATTGCGTTGCATCGTTGCGGTTACGCGCCAATTCAAATTTTTGACATACTGAAAAATTTGAATATAACCAAAAGATTCGTTTATCGTACCATCAAACGATACAATGAAGCCTCTAGTGTAGATGACAGGTCAAGAAGTGCTCCCGTTGCAGTGTCTGTTTCTGCTATCGGGCACGTCCTCTCGGGTGGCGGATGGGAGGTACCGGCTTCGGCCGGCGTGGACCATAACCAGACAGGTATTGGCAGGTCACACTTCTTCTTGTCAAGAAGAGGGTAACCTGCCACGCCAAACTCGTAACCTCGCACATGGTGCGGGGTCGAGGGCCGCCATCTCTCTCGGGGGGTGGGGGCTGCGAGGAATAAAACCTCTCTAAAAAATTACCCGGTGGGGATCTCAGCTGGCGTCCTGGGCATCCCGGGTAGCGGCAGCCGAGCTGGGGGAGAGCTCGCAACCCCGCACTTATGCGGGGCCGAGGGCTGCCACTCTCTTCGGAGGGCAGCGGCCACGAGGAAGAAAACCTCTATAAAAAATAACCCGGAGGGGGGCACTTGTGCTTAGAACTCGTAACTTCATACTATAGTACGGAACCGAGGGCCGCCACCCTTTTCGGGGGGTGGGAGCTGCGAGGAAGAAAACCTCTCTTAAAAATCACCCTGGAGTATCTCGGCTGGCGTCCTGGGCATCCTGGGTAGCGGCAGTCGAGATGAGTTGGCGAGGGCGGTTGTGTCGAACTCCGCGCCACCTCCGGCCGACCCGTAAACCCGCACGTGGTGCGGGAACGGGGGCCGCCACCTTAGGGTGGAGGCCAAGAGGAAGAAAACCTCTCAAAAAATCACACCGGTTGAGGCCAGGTAGGGTCCCCCGCCCGGAAGGGAGAAAATCGTAATGAGAATGTCCCGAATGCTAAGATGGAGTTTGTAGTGCGATCCCGCTGACCACGAGCGCTTTGGGGAAGCTTGGCCCCAGAGTGTTAAATGGACTACAAGCGGCCTATGCGCTCCGGTTGGCCACCGGCGCCGTGTGATTACCGGGTCACACGGTGTTAAATTGGTTACCGAGGCGTTAGGTGGAGTTCAGGGAACCTATTCCCCTAAAATAGGAAAAATGGATAGTTGGATAATTACAGATTGTCCCCGAGAGGGTCCCAGCCCAGCTGGGGAATCCTTCCCCGTTGTCCCTAGGGACGGCCCTTGTAAGGGCCACCAAAACGGCCCTTCTCAGGGCCACCAAAACGGCCATTCTCAGGGCCACCAAAACGGCCCTTCTCAGGGCCAACGAAGAGTGATGCAGCTGAGAGGAGGTGGTGGAGAAGACCCCTCTGACTCGCTGCAGACGGGAACCCCGTCGTCGGAGGAGGAGGAGAGGAGAAAGGTCGCAGCTCGAAGGAAAAACCGCCGCGGCCGTCAACACCTGTGCCCACGGATGGGCCCGTAGCGGAGAGAAAAATGGTCCCCCCCCCCCCCCGCTGCAGCACGGCAACCATCGGAAATTGACCTTCAGTCTTCCGGACGTTTCTGGACCTAGGGATTGGTCCCCGTATACGGCGCCGGAGCAGAGCCGGGTGCTTACCCGGTCGATGAAAAGGTCGTTCGAGGGGAAGACCAGTTTGCCACAAACTCCCCACCAGTTTGTGGAGACGGAGGCGGAGCCCGAGTCTACGGAGGCCGAGCCAGAGATGTATGTGGCGTCTTCGGCCCCCAAGGTGCCCAGAATCACCAACAACCCTCGGGGAGGAGGTGGAGCCCACTTCGTGGGTGCATCCTGGGCCCGTAGGGATGCAAAGTGCATGCAGGATGACACGTCGGATTCCGACTCCGACATGACAATCGAGGGTGGAAGCTCTCCTCGGCGCCGGTCGTCCAAGACGTCAAGCGAGGGGAGCTACAAGTCAAAGCCCTCTGCTGAAGCCCTCTGCCTAAAAGCAGAGTAAAAAGCGAACGCCGTTCTGAGAGTGGTGCAGAAATCCGGCAACCTGAAGGGAACAGGTGCTCGGGATATCAGGGAGGGGACAGATAGCCTGCTTGGAATCGTCCGAGAAATCGCGACGTGCACCGCCTCGTCCGAGGTGACGAGGCTAAAGGCCGATAATAAATGGCTCCGCGGCCAGAGGAATAAATGCATGGCGGAGCTGCAGTGGCTGAAGCAGCTCCTTGCAGGCCTTGGGCACCGGCTTGAGCCCGCGAAACAGGAGCGGCCAATGGAAGCTGAATCGAATGGCGTCTCCAGGGCAGAACTTATGCAGGGCAGGCCATGGGGGTCCTCCAGCGCGATCTACTCCAACACGTGGGGGCCGTAGTCTCGGCTCGGACTAGAAGTTGATGGGCGGCTCCTGGAGGGCCGCAGTCATAGACCGCCGTTGGCCTCCTCCAAAGGGGCGAGCCAAAACAAAACACGGCATGCGGAGACCGGGCAGCAGGCACCCACCACCCTCACCCTACCGACTAACCTGCCCAAAAAGGCGCAGGAAGCCAAAAAAAAGAAGAAGGCGCCGCCTAAAAAGCCCGTCCTAGCCCCTCATGCAGAGGAGCGGCTAGGTGAACCAGGTCCCGAGTGGGTCCTGGTCAATAAGAAGGGCCGGAAGAAAAAAAAGAAGAAGGCATCAAAGTCAACGCAAGCCAAGGGCCCTAAAGCCAAAAAGCTCCCACGGGCCCCCAAAACTCTAGCTTTTGTGGTAGCCCTCCAACCGGAGGCTGTGAAGAAAGGCCTCACGTACGGGCAGGCACTCGTCCAAGCCCAATTGGCGGTCAGCCTAACCGAGCTGGGCATTGGCGTAGCTAAGTTCAGAACCGGCATAACGGGGGCTCGAATAATCGAGCTCGAAAGAGACCACCCCGGCGAAAGCAGACACGCTTGCCGCCAGAATGGGGGTGGCTCTGGGGGACGCGGCGAAAGTGACGCGTCCTATTAAAACCGCAGACATCCGAGTCATCGGCATCGATGATGCGGTGACGACGGAGGTGCTAGTTCAGGCCCTTGCCAAGGCAGGGGACTGCCCTGCCCACCAAATCAAGGTGGGCAAAATCCATACGGGGGCCCGCGGAACTGAGGCTGCTTTTGCCTCGGTCCCCGTAGAGGCGTGAAAAGGGCAAATGTATAACGTTGGGCTGGAGCTCCACCACTATCCGGCTACTGGATCAACAGCCGATGCGGTGCTTCCGCTGCATGGGGATCGGACACCCCGTGCAGTGCTGCTCCTCCAATTGTGACCGCAGCGGGCTGTGCTACCGATGCGGCGCCGAGGGGCACAAAGCGGCGACCTGCACAGCTCCGCTCAAGTGTGCCATCTGTGCAGCGGCAAAGCGGCCGTCTAATCACCGCATGGGAGGGAGAAAATGCAACCCCCCCGCGGTGAAAGCCCGACTAACACGGGCCACAGCAGCCGAGGTCCCACGACCTATGCCTCCGCCAACATCTTCACCGGCGGAGGCGACGGAGGAGTCTAACGATATGAGCAATGCCCAGCACGTCCATTGAACTCTTCCAAATCAATGTGAACCACTCCAACGCGGCGCAGGACCTAATGCGCCAGTCAGCGTCGGAGTGGAACGTGGGACTGGTGATCGTGGCGGAGCCCTACCACATTCCACCACGGTCACCTCAATAATAATAATAATAATAATAAAAACGTTTATTTGGCACAAATTACAAAAATAACTTATTGTGTTACATAAAGGTTGTGTACCAAACAGGTCACTGCTCAGTATATGTCGAGGCAACATGTGCCACGACACTGATTTTCAGCAGCAGCCTACTTAAATTAAATGACATTTAAGGTCATCGATAATAATTTAAACAAAAATTAAGAATAAAAGATTTAAATACAAATGTCAAATTACTGAAATCAATTGGATAAATATTGCGAAACATAATGAAAGCCAAAAAAAAAATTAAATTAAAATTTACAGCGTATGAAATGGTGCTCAAAATCAACCATAGTGTTCTAGGTTCAGGTTAGTTCATTACAACTTTTGCACATCTAATAAATATTTTCTGTATTTAACTTTAAAAGTGCAAACCGTTGTGGAGTTCCTTATTGGAGGAGGAATGTTATTCCAACATTTGGTCGCTGCGTAACGAAAACTACCCCGAAACGCACTAGTTTTATGTGCGGGACACCTCATACGAGATGTTATCCGCAAAGGACGCTTACATTGTATAACTCCAAACAACAAACTCGCAAAATGCATTTTGCGACGGTTTTCCATATTTAGCATATCACTTCTATTTAGATAGGGTGTCACGTGAGCTCTTCGGGGAATTGGAAAACAGTATCTGGCACAAGCGTTCTGAACTCGCTGTATAAGCATTTTTGATCTAGTTAAAAGACAATCTCCAATGACAGTGTCCGCGTAATTTAATTTAGATAATATTAGTGTCTCGCAGAGGTGAATTCGCAATTCCACACTCAAATACTTACGTATTTGATATAGCACCCTTAGCCTATAAAAACATTGTTTGACAGTGTCTGTTACATGCTTCTCAAATCTCAAGTTAGAATCAAATAAAACACCCAAGTTTCTAGCCTCACTTACTTGTTCGATTGCATCAGACTTTACTTTCAACACAGGTTTATAGGTTTTGATTCGTTTTATTTGAGTTTCAGTGCCTAAGACCATCAGTTTAGTCTTTACTGGATTCAGTAACAAACCGTTCTTTACCGACCACTGAAA